ATATAGATAGATAGATTGATATACTTATTACATTCTTTGATCCAATTTATAAATATTTTTTTTTTTATTAAACAAATGAGCGCGTATAAATAAAGGGTACCGTACGGTCGAATGAATTTTTTTAAAAAAGAATTGTTTAGACAAACACATAGAAATATTTAATAATTGCATTGTATTTTTTTCTCGAGAAATATATCTGTCTAGTTGGAAATTACCGATCCTATAGTGATTCGATAAACTCTTTCTAGATTGTTTTAAAAATCTAGCAATATTTAACAATCGGAAGTAATTTGTTTAATAATTGCGTTTCTATACTTTACGAGGTCTCTTGAAAGTTAACAAAACAAAAAAATATTTATATTGAATTTATTTATATATTTAATTTTGCATTTAATTGTATTTTTTTTAATTTATATTTTCGAAAAAGATTATTTTTTTTATCCGCATATATATAACACAATAATTGAAAATATTTTGTGTAGTTGAAAAAATCGTCGATCTAATTTTAAGATTCATTATGATTTGAAATGAAGGTTGTGTTAGATAAGAAAATGTTATTACGATGCTTGTTTCGTGTAATACACGTCTCCTGATATTTTATTATTACTTTGCTTTGCCACACATAACAACATCTTTGATAGTTTTCATTTTGTTTCCTTTCCGTAATTTTCCGCATGCTATTCGAAATGACAAATCGTCCAATAAAAATGTTCTTTATGGTTAAAACTTATCTCGCTAATTTACTTCGTTTCATAGTTATTCGATCGTTTATCAAATCATAGGAAAGGATTTTATTTGAAGAGAGAGAGAGAAAGAGAAAGAGAAAGAGAGAGAGAAAAAGAAACAAAGTAAATTTAACGAAGATTTATGATCGATCATAGGGGTAATTTGTATTTGACATTAATTCGATTTTTTTCTTTAGCATAATCGTAACGTCATAAATAATGAATCGAGTTCTATGAAAGAAAAGTTGCATCGTCGCAGAGTTTTAATCGTCTCGTGTTTAAGAAGAGAGATTTCAATATAAATAAGTATTATATTATAATATACAACACGCACGCGCGCGCGCACACACACACACACACACACACACACACACCGATCTTATATTAGGATTATTTACTTCAGATTGCGTTCTACGAATGGTAATTCGAAACTTCAAAAGGATACATACACCCATACACATACACATACACACATTATTAGTTTATATTTATTTTCATTTATATTTTAAGTATTTACTTTTGATATTTTTCTACAGAAACAAAAAATATCTTTCTCGATATTTTCAGATTATGAAGCTGGCGAAGAAAATGCTCGGAGAAAAGCTCTTTACTAAATTGATGAAGGGAACGTTTTATGGACATTTCGTAGCAGGCGAGGATGAGGTACAAATAACTCCGGTTCTTGACAGGTTACGACAATTCGGCGTCAAACCTATTCTGGATTATTCCGTCGAGGAAGATTTGTCACAGGAAGAGGCGGAACGTCGTGAAGTTCAGTGAGTTCGAATTTTTGCGAGAATTTTTAACGAAAAAAAGAAATTAAATTGAACAATTAATCTTTTGAGCGTTGTGGGCGCATATATGCGTTTATCCATTTTTTGTTCTACCTAACACACCTACCCTTTGGCTCGAAATTCTTTACTTTTGTTTTCTTTTTGGTGTTTATATTTTTTATCGAAATAGTTAAACATTAAAAAAAGGAAATAATTTTTATATTTATATTATTTATATTTTTTATTATATTTATTATATATATATATATATTATTATCCGGGATGATTATCGTTAGATGAATTCCGTATTCAAAGGGTTAATTAAAAAAAAAAAAAAAARAACTAAATGCCATGTATAAATTTGTACAAATTATATTTATAGAGATGCGAATGATTTATTTAACATCAATTATTTATTTCGTGAACAATAATCGGTTACTTTTTTCAAAATAGATCACGACTTTTTTTAGGGCCTCTGTTTCGGAAGCGGGTGACATGAAGACGGAGGGACCGTTGAAGAAATACCACGTAGAAAAATCGTTCGCCGATCGTCGTTACAAAGTATCCTCGGCTAGGACGTATTTTTATTTGAACGAAGCTTCCTGCGAACGAAACATGGACATTTTCATTAGGTGTCTCGAGGCCGTTGCTGGTGAGCCCCTCCTCTCCTCCAACTCACCCCCATAAGATGATAATACTAATAATAATAAAATAAAAGGATATAATTGTGTGGTAGGGTGAACCAAAAGTAATTCGTGCATTGTTTTGTTTTTTTTTTTTTTCTTTTTAATTAATATTTCCAAAAAAGAAATTTTACAAAAACAATCATTCTCCACATTATTTAGTTTCAAATTAATATTATAACACACACGATATATAAACGCACGAAATTTTGATTCACCCTAATACGTAAGTATCGTGAGAGTTAAATATGTTTGAATACAAAATTTAAGAATGATCGTTCACAACTTTTAATGATTATTATTATTACTCAACGAGTTTAATCTTGCGTGTCGCGTCATTCATTCATTCAAACTTCTGGTACGAAAAAGATAAGCACGCGTATCGTAGTCATTTATCTGGTTATTTTATCTTACCTTCCCATGTATGAGTCCTCTATTCGATTTTCATCGGTGTGTGAAAAACCGCACGTTTATGGGTATGGGAAGACCACACGCGTGTTACCATTACACATGAATGTATAATACATGGTACACGTCGTTGTTTACACGTTACGTGACGTGCCTTCGAAGTTCTCGTCTCACTTGAAACATCGGCGACGTTTCAAACAGAAAGACCATAATGAGAATTAAACAGAGAGGGAGAGAGAGAGAGAGAAGAAACGAGAGAGAGAGAGAGAAAGAGAAACAGATCTCATTTTAAATCAATAAACAAAATCTAATTCTTTATAATACGTATGTGTATCAGATATATAACTAAATTTAATATAAATCTAATTCTTTATAATGTGTGTGTGTGTGTGTGTGTGTGTGTATTAGATATATAACTATATAATGCTAGTATATTATAATTTATTAATTCAAGAAGAAGTATGATCAATATTAGTCCCAAAAAGAAAAAGTAATTAATATTAGATGAAAATAATTTGGCATAGTATCTTGCCAGTCCGAGAATTTGCTATAAATATCATATCTTCTAGTAGATCTTTTCTCGGACTCTTTAGTATAATCTTCGAGCAACAATGTGACATAACACATTCGCCTAAATTGTCTCCCGCAAAAATATCCGATCGACAATGATGACTATAACGTATAATTACTATTCTTTGAGGTCGTTCATTATTTTTTCTTTTCTCTCTATTTCTCTTTCTTTCACTCCTTATTTTTGATTATTTTTTTCGGTTCTTTTTTTTTTTCCTTTGCGAACTAACAAATTACAGATTCAATCGATCAGAATTAACTGCAATTTTTGAGAACAGATATTTATGAATATTTAAGAATGACGTTAAATGATTACAACAGCATTAGGTGTTGCTAAAAGATATTAGGATATTTTACATACTTTTTTGTGTTTATTCAAAATTATTCTTAGTAATAGAATAAATAAAAACGAATGTGCTTACGTGAAATTTATCCTACCGAGAATAGTCGAGAGTTAGGATAAACTTATTGCATTTACATTATACACTTGTCTTCTTCACTTTGTTTATTCTATCGAGTGTCTTTGATTTGTTTGCAAAACATTTCAATGTATTTTTAAACACGTAAAGGTTTCCTTCGATTTTTTCTAACTACAATAGGCATATTAATTTTAATTCTACGGAAAAAGATGAGATCAGATTTAAAAAGTTAATAATAAAAAGAATAGTTTTCAGAGAGTTTTGAAATGATAAGTTGCGATTAAAACTTCAAGAAAAATAATTTGATTGCAAAAGAAACTCGAACTTGATTTGCAAAAAATTTTATTTGAAGTATAAAGACAAAAAAAAAAAGAAAATTCTTATATTTTAATTATATTATATTCAAAATTCTAATACATAGTGTTTTGCGCATTGTTTCAATTAAACGTGTACTTTTTTGAGTGATACTATTATGTTTTACACAACAGAACATAAATGACTGAAATAATGCAAAAAGTAATTTAACTTTTTAATATCTTTTTGCAGGTGCTTCTATGGGTGTTGGAATAACGGCTGTTAAATTGACAGCGCTTGGTCGTCCACAACTTTTGGTTAGTAAACAATTTTTTTTTTTTGTTCCTTATCATAGGCCAAATACGTTTTTATCTAAAATTTATATATTGTGCAGACTATTTTTTTTTTGCGTTTATTTTAAATAATATTCAATATTTTAAATATCAAACAAAAATATTTTAATTGTTTTTTTTAATTTTTTTATTAAAGCTTCAATTGTCCGAAGTGATTATGCGAGCGCGACAATACATGTCGGACGTTGTTGGTGGCGAGGGTGCTGTTTTGGCTCATCACGCTAAACCGGATGATTTTAAGAAAAAATTTGAAGAGGCTCACGTAATGGATGCGGTAACGGTACAAAAGTTCCTTGAAAAGATCCAATCGGATAAAGAAGGGTATGTATGTAGCATTGTCTCTTTTTTCAATCATTATAATAATACTATTTTAGAGAAAGAATATTGTTATTTGTCTTGTTAACGTAACAAGCGCGTGCATATTTGATTGAAATATATTTTATTAAAATTAATGCTTCTTCACACAAAACAAACATTTCATTTTCATCCAATATTCGTTTTCGCATACGTAATGAAGCTGAAATTAAACGTAAAACATAATAATGAAGTTACATTTAATTGTTTGTAGTGTAATTCACTTGTTTCCTTGGAGCGGAATCCTGGATGAGAATTACGAGTTGAGTGAAACGTTTCAAGTTCCCGATATAAAGACTGGAAAAATGGTGAGATTAATGTCACAATTAACATCAAAAGAAGAGGAAATGTTTAGGAATATGATCAGAAGACTGAACAATATTGTTACGGTACGTATGTTAAAAATAATTAAATGAATAATAATAGTAATAATAAGAAGAAGAAGAAGAAAGAATAAAAAGTTCATGTAATAAGAAATTGATTTATTTATTGTTAATAGGTCGCCGACAAGTTAAACGTACGTATTATGATAGACGCGGAGCAAACGTATTTCCAGCCGGCAATCTCAAGACTAACATTGGAAATGATGCGCAAGTACAATACAGATAAGGTAATGGTTTATTTAAAGAACGTAATATGTTATCAATCCGCAAATTTTCAGTGAATCATTTCTCAATCCCAAATGGTCTACTTCATAGGCCGTGGTGTTCAATACGTACCAGACATATCTTCAGGAGGCTTATAACGAGGTAAAAACGGATTTGGAACAAGCCGAACGTCAAAACTTCTATTTTGGTGCGAAAATTGTTCGGGGTGCTTATATTGAGCAGGTATGGATTAACTTATTAATGTTATTTACATCTACAAGTTATCCCTATCCGTATGATGATGGTAGATATTTGAAATATCATTGCAATGATGTTTCTCTATTACATTTAATTAATATACTTTAATTTTTAATGAATTTTATTTATTCGGATAATCATGATAAATTCTGATAGGAAAGAGCAAGAGCAGCAGCTATGGGTTATCCTGATCCAACGAATCCAACTTACGAAGCAACTACTGAATCTTATCACAGAACGCTGATGGAATGTTTGAGGCGGATGAAGCAGTACAAAGACAAGGGCGAAGACCCTAAGAAGATAGGTATTATGGTTGCCTCGCACAACGAAGACACCGTACGTTTTGCCATTGAAAAGTACGTCATTTATTATATTTATCATCGATCAATTATTTCTTTTAATGTTTTCGATAACGAATATTATACATTTTCTTGTTTTATATTATTTAGAATGAAGGAAATCGGAATCTCGCCAGAAGATAAAGTTATTTGTTTCGGTCAATTACTAGGAATGTGTGATTACATAACGTTCCCATTAGGTAAGATATAATATATTTGATTTGAACATATTCTCGAGACTGACAACGTAATCAATTCTACGTAATTTCAAAGTCTGCGGTTGCAAATCCTTGGAACATAGTCTTATGCTATTAAATATTCAATTGTTATTGTTTATTCGCTTGTTTTTGATTTTGTGTTTTGATTGTTAATTATTTACTCTCGGTAATATATTTTACATTTTTGTTTTAAATTATTGCTAATGTATATGTATTAATTAAATTAGCAGTATCCTGTGTTAAATGTCTTTCTGTCGCGAAAACGCTGATCGCGAATATGTTGATTGAGTTTGAAGATAAGAAGATAAAATAAAGGGAAGAAAATGAATTGTGTCGAACAAATTGTTTTGTTTGTTTCAGGTCAATCTGGTTATTCGGCATACAAATATATTCCTTATGGACCTGTTAAAGAGGTATTACCGTATTTATCTCGACGTGCACAAGAAAACAGGGGTATATTGAAGAAGATTAAGAAGGAAAAGAAATTGCTATTGAGTGAAATAACGAGACGCTTTGTGAAAAGACAATTCTTCTACAAACCTAAGGGCAATTATACCCCGGTCTGAGTATTTCGTCCTAATTTAGTACAGAGATATACTCTTAACTATCAAATTTAAGTAGTGATTGTAAATTATTGAATCTCCAAGACCTTTAATGGCACTTCGAATCGAGATAATCGAATTAACCTGGTAAAACTTGTGGTAACAACAACAACAACCAACAACAACAACAAAAAGAGAGAGCGATGCGCGAGTGTGTAGTATGATGCGTGTGTGTATGTGGCCAGAAAAGGATAGGGGGCAGTGTTTTTCCTTAAGTAAACTAAATCGCTTATGTGTGACCTAAAAAAAATCGAGCTTTCGAATTAGCTCGATATTATTGCACTATTCGGCATACCAGTTATATGCATTATCATAGTTTTACCCGTATTACATGAAAAAAAAAAAAAAACAAGAAGAGCTGCCAGCTACTGTGCTATGGTTATTATCGTTGATGCAATTGAATGCATCATTTGTTTGCTCATCGAATGATATACCCAATTTTCAAATATTACAGTTTCCGTTGTCTTTACCGTTGTGTGTTCAAGGATGTTGAAATAATTATATTTTTTTTTTTCTTGAATTAGCATTTTTCGAAATGATTCTTATTTTATATTCTATGATATATAATATAATGGTAAAAATGAAATCTTGAACGGTAACGTAACTACAGATGACAAAAGAGATTATTATAGTATATATTATTTGTATATTTTCGAGAATATCAATGTGTTTTATGTATTATATATAAATATAATATAATATTATATAAATATATATATTATATTATATTGAACGTATCATTATATATATTTATGTTTAATTTATAAATATATATGTAGATGTGTATATATATATACATATACATATATACACATGCATATATATATATATATACACATACATGTAATTATTTTTTTGTCAATGTTCCGTTTCTGTGTTACGTAAAGGAGTTTCATTTCATTTAAGAAACAAAATTTCATTAATAATTCTATTGGCATTTTTACCTTGATATATTGAATTGAATGCAACGAATGAAGTGTGTACATAGCACGGATAGTATAATGGTAGCTGATGATGCGTTTAAATACTGCGGGTCAGACGCGAATATAGTTATGTTCCATGCTTGCGCGTAGTTACCAAAAAAAGAAAAAAGAAAAAAGGCAAAAAAAAAAAATAGAAAAAAAAAGAAAATAAGAGGGAGAGTGAGCCAGCCTCGTTATCATGCGATATTATCAAATATGACACAATGTGAATAAGGAATTAAATTAATTGATTATTGCTAAAAGTTAATTATTCAAGGAAAGATGATTCCGTTCTACGAATTTAAAAAGAGAACCGAATAAAAGATATTATTACTGCGATTGAGAGATATTATGGCTGTATTCAGCGTTAAAACAAATTGTAATGTACATAAAAAGGGGTAGGGAAATGGGAAGAAAATGGAATATGAGAAGAAGAAGGGAGGGGGGATGGAGGATCTTAACGGCACGATAAAAACAAGGAAAAAAAAGGAAAGGAAAGGAAAGAAAAGAAAAGAAAAGAAAAGAAAATGAAAAGAGTTTGAGAAAGTATGATGGCTATAATTATTCAAAGCTTCGTGAGTCGTATGTAAGTAAATCGATTATATTTACTTTCGTTGCAGTCGTCGTTCGTCGTTTGCTTGTTGCGATGCGTATGAGAGACGAGGTTTAACAGAAAAGATACAAAAAATATTAACATAATAACAAAATGGCACGTAAGATTTATGTTTAGTTTTTATCGATCGGAAATAGAAAATGAGAGAGAGAAAGAGAGAGAGAAAGAGAGAGAGAGAGAGAGAGAGAGAGAGAGAGAGAGAGAGAGAGAGAAAGAGAGAGTGAAAACTTTTTTTCTTTTCTTTATATTTAATTATACGCGTTGGGATATAAATAATATTATATGTTAAGGTATTATAATTACGTTGGACCGTGACAGGTGAGTTTCACAAAAGTTTTCAGACAAAAAAAGAAATAGACTGTTTTCTTGTGATTTTTAATTATTTCTATAATATCCAATTGCTTTTTGTTAGAGCTCGCCTGGATATTCGGTCTAATGTTCCGCGTTATCGTCGACAGGATCAAACAAAAAGAAGAAGAAGAAGAAGATGAAGATGATAAAAAAAAAAGAAGAGAATGCAAGAGAACGTTTAAAAAAGACGCGTCGTCGTATGCTGCACATTTGAATAAAAAAAATAAGTGTGAGAGAATAAAAACGAATGACTGAGATTTTGTGAGGGGAAAAAAAAAACAAACGACAAAAGAAGTTTAGGTCATACGGTTAGGTTATTATACCTGCTCTTGTTATTTTCCGAAGATCATCTTTTTCTTGCGATCATATGAAGAAGAAGAAGAAAAAAAAAAGAAAAAAGAAGAAAAAGAAAAGGAAAAATAATCTTCTTCGCGATTAAAACGTTGAAACTTTTCAGTATTGTTAATCTTACGTTGCATTAAAGTATATATTTAAAAAAAAAAAGAAAAAAAAAAAAGAAAAAAAAATACTGAAAACTCTACGCAGATTGATTGTTGTTAAGCAATTTTCTATATACACTTTGATTAATTTACTTACGCTCGTCACAACGTTGTAGCAAGATATTTTCAATTACGACTCCGACTACTCCTTGTTTTTTTTTTTTTTTTATATACAGTATTTTCTTTTTAAGAACAGGTGATAAAATGAATCGAGAGTTACTAAACGATAGACTTTTTTTTTCTCTTTAAAGTTTTATTTTATTTTATTTCATTTTCTTTCATTTTCTTTCTTTCTTTCTTTCTTTCTTTCTCTTTCTTAACGTTCTTTTTGTCTCCTTTTTATTTTTTTTTTTTGTTTCCTTTTAGTTTTTTGTAATCCTATATTCGTCAATTCTATTTCACTTTTATTATTATAGCGGGTTATTTCCTTAATTACTTTTTTTTTCCTTTTTATTTTATTTTTCTCACATTTTATTTTATTTTATTTTATTTTATTTTTTATTTCAAACGACGCAAGTATATTTTCCTTATGATCTCTATTGTGTATGTTGACTTTGATATTGAGGTATGTATGTTAGTAATCCACGTCTATAACGGTGATGCTGATGATGATGATGATGATGATGATGATGATGATGATGATAGTCCGACGGAGTAAACTATTATTTATCGAAAATAGTTTATATTTGCTTCCCCGAAACGTATGTATGCGTGATTTTTGTTTTTTCATAGAGATCAACGAACAGTGAGACAAAGAAAAAAAAAGAAAAAAGGGAAAATTAATTACAAAAAGTTTATTATGTTTTAAAAAAAAAAAAAGTAAGAAAGAATTTTTCTTTTTGGGAATATAAATAAGAAAGGAACTTGATTGAGATGAAGTAATAAATAAAAGAATTAAATTGAGAAAAAAAGGGGTCGGGTGGGGGTGGGGCATTGTTAAAATTATAAAAAACTATAGCAAAGTGTCTCCATGGCGTTTAGCGGTATGATGAATTAGAGTGTATTAGTATATATATACAATTCTATTTGTTATATTTATTATTCGCCTAGTACGTCAATATGAAAGAAAGAAGGAAGGAAGAAAAAAGGAAAAAAAAAAAAATGAAAAAGAACAAAAAAAAAAGGATAAAGACTACTATTAATTCACGTCTCATATGTGTGATGGTGACAATAATTTAGATAAAGATAATGTTATTATTATTATTGACGTGTAGCGTATGAGTTTTATAGATTGTGTATTTGTCTGTCACCGCGATTGATCGGCATGGATGATGTGAAGAAAGAAAATGATTTAACAAGAATCAATGATAATTAATCATTGAGAACGAGCAAACAAGAAAAAAAAAAAGAAAAGAAACGAAAAAAAAAACCCGATGATTCGTGTATTTCGCGTGTTATCCAACAAATTTGTTTGAATCTGATCATCGAATAGAAAAAAAAAAGAAAAGATAAGAAAAGAAAAAAACTATAACGCGACACACAAAAAATAATTTCCTTCGCTCGTTTACTGCCTCAACGCGCGATCGGGTTATTATTATTATTATTATTATAATTATAATATATCATAGATTTGACTAATTCGTGTATCACATTTGCTACGGTAAAGACGATTTACATCATACATACATACCTATAGTTAACGTTATACACACATGCTTTGGGAATTTAATTGAACGAGAAAGTTGAGTTAGAAGTGTCGCTTATATAGAAAAGAATAAAAAAAAAAATATACCTAAGTATATATATATATATATATATGTATATATATATTTAAAAAAAAACTTGAAGAGAATATTCAAAGGATAAACGTGTTTATTGTTTGCTTTTTCTCAAAAAAAGAAAAGAAAGATGCAAGTTAAAAAAAAAAAGAAAAAGAAGAATGAGAAGAAAAAGCATTATTTGGTTTAGAAAAAAAAAAAAATATTGAAATAATTATTAATCCTTCTCCGCGAAGTGTTGGTAAATGCGCGCGACAAAGAAAACCAATGAAAGTTTAAATTAAAAACGTCGTTCGATATAAAATAAGAATAATATTATTTATTATTTCATGAAAAAAATACATAATAATTATACATGCCTTTTTTCCCCAATGCCGTTTCATATAATCCCCTGTTTTTTTTTTTCTTTTTTTTCTTTCTTTTTTTTTATATAGAGAGATTCGTGTGTTATTTTGTAATTTGAATGAATTCATTCAAATATTGTCGGCTAAATTGGCCACGAAAATTAAACGACGACGACGACGACGACGACAACGAGAACGACGACAATTTTTTCGCAATTAATTTATTCCCATTTATCGTAGTTTTAAAATTTTCTTTTTTTCTTTTTCTTTTTAATAAAAAATTTACAATCCATTCTCTCTTTAACGATTACATTTCTATTTTGAATTTTATTCGCAGTTCTTATAAAAAGACTACTGAATATATATATGCATATACGCGTGATAGTATTATAGTATTTACGCGATTAGGGTGTCGATTTTTACAACTCGACGACACACTTGGACAAAGTGTCGTCCTTCACCATTTTGAGCAGTGGATTTATTAGATTATTATTTTGCAACACGTAGTAAACTTTCTGATAACACATTTATTTTCTTTCCTTAGTTTATTATTTTTTTGTTATTTTTCTAATCATTTCTATAATCTCTTCTCTCATTTTTTTGTTAATTGTTTTCAACTTTTCAAACCTTCTTCTTCGAAGTAACGTAACTACTTACTACGCGATCGTTCGTGATTGTATTAGAAATTTATATCGGGTGTTATTTTTTTTTGTTTTCATTTTCTAATATGTCGCGTATCTATTTATATACGTGCGCTTAAATTTGTCACGACAGAGTTTAGAATGAATTTAGAAAAGTTTTTATTATGCGGTGATAATTGAATATACGGCGATAGATAAAATACATTCCGGAAACGAGTTTTATTATACGTTTTTTTTTTTTAAGAATATTTTATGTACGCATATATATGTATATTAGGAATATAAACAGGCACACACGGTGCATTTATATAATTTTTTTCTTTTCTTTTCTTTTTTTTCGTTTTCGCAATTATTATAGTTAATTATGAATGCGACGCGTTTAATTATCTTCTTCTTTTTATTTTTCGTACCAACCTCGCGTTTTGTCGCGCAAATACTTCTTTCACACGCTTTATTTTTCTATTAAAACATTTCATCGTACGCTATTTGAAAAAGATCTGATAACGAGATAAAATTCTTTTATCCTAATATATATTATATTTTTTTTCAAACCCTCCCCTTTTTCTATTTTTCACAATTCGACAAACGTTTTCTTCCTTTTTTTTTTTTTTTTTTTTTTTTTTCATCGATACGATAATTTCTGCCGATGCGTTTAAAATTCGATCGATTTTTTTTATGACTGATAGTATAATATTCCTTGGAATAATTATTTATCAAATAAAAACATTGTTTTATTTTTGTTTTTTTTTTTGTTCTTTTTCGTTTATCCGAGGACACGTTGAAAATAACAATTTCATATGAGAGTCTTATTTAAAAGCGTTCGTCCTCCATCTTGTAAATAATGAAAACCAATCGAATGAATTTTGGAACGATCGTAAATGGACATTGGTTTGTTTGATTGTTAACGCACCCTATTGCGTAAGCCTGTTGTTTTTATTGGACGTTACTCGAGACGTTACCCCGATTACAAATGATTCTTAAGATATTTTTTGTTTTTGTTTTTTTTTCATCATCATCATCATCATCATCATCATCATCATCATCATCATTCTTTCGATATATGTATCGTATTTCTCATTACAACAGACGAAACATTAAGAAGTACGTACGTTTTACATTATCATCATAATTTAATCGTGATAGCAGCAACGATGATTAGTCGTTTTTTGAATAGAAAGTGGTTATTGAATAAGAGAAGTCATTTTATATCTGATATCGTATGGATTCTTTTTTTTTTTTTTTTTCCTTTTCCCGTGCATATATTATTATTCCCACTTTTATAGGAAACACAAACGAAAGAACGTTAAAAATATAAAATTCGTAATATCGAAAATCACATTTGTTATTCTATCATTTTGTTGTTGGTTGTTTTTATTTCTGTTTTTTTTCATTTTTCTTCCGTATATATATATATATATTTTCAATGAATTAATAGATACGATTCGTGACAAATTGTATGAAGGTAAGTTATTGGTTGTTTTGAACAATTTGTTTGCAGTTTGGGAAGACGCGTATGAACGAGTTTTTATCACTTATCTTCGATTATGATCTAAGTTTGATGCATTTTTATATTTCTTCATTAATCGTGAATAAAAACTAAATGCTACCTGTCGATGTTTTCTTATCCTTCTGTTCTTTTTTTTTTGGATTCACCCGCATTGCCTTACAATTAGTTGACCAAAAGTTAAACGCGAAAAAAGAAAATTAGAAAACGTTAATATTTTTGAAAAAAAAAAAAAAATAAATAAAAGACGAGTAATCTTCTTGCATTGTTTTTTTTAAATCTTCCAACCACAATGAAATCCAGTTGCAAACAAATTTTTCATACCACCTTATACTTATATATATATGTATATATATATATAGATTATAATGAGCGAGTTTTGTAGAGATTGCAATGAAAACGGTTTAATTTGTTCCGTTCGTTAATATTATTTCTCTTTTCTTTTTTTTTTATTCTTTTTTTTTTTTTATACAAGTCGATTTAATAGATTTGAAAGACGTCAGGGTACGGATAGCATTTTTAAATCGTGCACATATCTCGGCACGTGTTTTCCGTGAAAATATTTATATTTGTGAAAATGGATTCGAAATAATTTTTTGTTTGTTATATATATACAACTAGCTAGCTAGTAAGCCAGCCTATGAACGTGTTTTTATTTTTTCTTTTCTCTCAGGAGCCGTGGCGAATGGTACGGGGGTACGGGAGGGGGAGTGGGGAAGAAGGAAAAATATTGGCCGCGTGAAAACGTTTATTATTCCTTGACTATTATTTTCCCAACGTATTCAATTAAAATATAGTAAAATCTTACGCGAGCTCTCGTTTATTCGGTTAGCTCGATTATAAGCTGATAATGAGAGATAAAAACACGGGGGTGGGGTGTGGGGTGTTGTCGGTGCGGGAATAACTGTGTTTGTTATTTCGGCTCGGAATTCAATCCTAATTAATTAATATTTTCGTTCCATCCAGCATTTATTAAATATTACGCGATGACGCGGTATGGGGGGAGTCTTTTCGTTGCACTCGTAGGTCGACCTTGAGGAGGAGGTGGAAGAGGAGGAGGAGGAGTCGAGTGCTCGTTCGTTTAAACAAAATATTTTAATTCATCGCTTTACAGTATTACAAAAGAGGTAGAGGTTGTGAGGATTATTTTTGAATTATTCTATACGAATTATTCTTACTTCGTCGTTTGATCATTAAATGTTCTTTTTATCCCACGATTTTCGTTTTGTTTTTTGTCTTTTTTTGATTTTATCTGCAAGTAAGAGCAATGACCAATCACGTCCGACATAATATCGACATGTGCGTTCTTGTATTTAAAAAAAAAACAAAAACAATTCACGCTCAAAATCACGATTGTCAATGAAATCAAATTGTTGAAATCAAATTGTTGAAATCAAAATTGTAATAATGTCTTAAATTATTTATCTTTGGATCACGATTAATCCCCCGCCAAATTCTCTCGTATACTATTATACAATATATCTTTTTGTATCTTCTTTGTAGGTAAAAAAAAAAGAAAAGAAAAAAAGAAAACGCAAAGTTGAAAAGAATAGAATAAGTATCTGGAAGTGGGGAGAAAGAAACCCTATGTTGAATTTGGTTTTTTTCTTTTTGGCTTATATTACAAATTTGCAGTATGTAATATAGAATGAACCATACTTCTTGATACTCATTTGAGAAAATAAAAATACATTCGAGTATGTTAGACGTGTTTAAGAACGCTAGATAAATCGAATGAGGAAACAGGGTGACAAGGGAGCTGAGGGGGTGGGGGTGAAGTTAATCGAACGAGAATTCGTCTCCGCGTGAACGAGGATAATATATATATATCATTTACTCGAGAAAAATAAGGACCAGCAGAATTTTGTGAGAAATATTTGAAGAATAAATGGTCGTAGTGTGGTGTGAAAGATTTGAGGTTATCATCTCAGGATAATGAGAAAATGGTGCATTTTGGTTCGTCGTTAACGATTTCTATATCGTTACTACTACTCTTACGTTCTTGTTCAACTTTAATTGGATGGGGAAGAATCGCGTCCTCGTTGGTCGTATTAATAATCGTAGTTGTTTTCATTGTAGTAGTAGTAGTAGTAGTAGTTTGACAAGCGAACGCAACACTGTTTGCTCTTTTTCTTGAAGATTTGCCTCCTTTCGCGGTAAAAGTCGCGTATTCCGTAACCGGGCTGCTTTTATGTCGGCCACTGCTGCTCCTTCTTCTTCTGATTGGTTTTAAACTGGATGGAACGATTCTACCTCAGTCCGATCTGTGCCTTCCTTCGACCTCGATCGTTGTTGATCCACGATCGCTGGCCGTTGATTCGATTGGTCACAACGGTGCCAAACTTTTGCCACGTTTAGATAATCTAATTTCTAACCAAACGTAAGGCACGACCGATAGCAACAACATACACGCCAATCCTAGCACACGGATTCGGGTGCAAACCAAACCATGAAGACCCAACGCTAATGATAGTCCTAACCATCTCCAAAATAACGACGTTGATAACGGACCTTGCCAAGAATTTGGATAGAGACCTAATACTAATGCTGCAAAATAAAATTATAATACGATATATATTTATCATCAATTTTGTTTGTGGATTAATTTTTTGTTTTTTTTTTTTTTTTTATTGTAAAAAATAGTATATCAATATTAGATTAAACACTTACTATATATTAAAGTTTCCCAGATGGAGTTACATACTCCCCAGGCGGCTGATATAACATGGAAAAGTGCTGGATCGTCGCCAGCTGGTCTCCAAACGACCAGAACGAGTAACAAACAGGCATGAAAGGCGAAACCCACGACTAAAATTCAACCAGTTAGATTATATAATTGTAATATATATGTATGTAGTTGTCCGATATAATTGTTTAAATTATTAACGAAGGGAGAAAGAAGGTAGCATCGTGCTTCTTACCTACGACAAAATATCTCTTGATGTGCCTGAGTAACATGGAAAGGGTTGCTCCAGCAAGTGCCTGGAGGACAGCTAAGCTGAGAAAACTGACGGTTACGGTGCCAGCTCCGCCAAGGGCACAAGCCACGTATGCCTGTTAATAAATAAACAATATTTCTTTTTGTTTTTTCATCTTTCATTTCAAAGTTCGGTGACGTTTAATATCTGGTTTTTGTTTCTTTTTTTTTTCTATTTGGTTGGTTGTCAAACTTACTTCAGTGAAGTCGGCGTAAATGAAACCTTGCTCGAGGCCGATGAACAGTGTCAATGGCGCCGCTAATTGCAACTTCGGATCTTGAAAGGCGCACTTGACGGATTTGAATATGTTACGTGAGCTAATTCTGTCGTTTGTACTTTGGGGTTCCTTCATCCTCGAATCGAGGAAAGCACAAGATATGCTCATTCCTAATACGGCAAAGCCGAACCATATACTTATCAACATTTTCGAAGTGTTATCCGAGATAGTTGGTAAATAGAGACTTTCGTTGTGGAAATAGGTCTCCTCGGGACAATACTCGGCTCCGCAAACATCCTCGATCTCGGTTTGCGATATGTTAGGTAACACCGAGTCCGTAAATTTGACCAATAGTGCCGCGATCAGACAACCTGCGTTACAGTAACAATTGTAGACAAGTTTATAGTATTGATTAAGAAAAACAAATCGATTGAGAAAACAAAAATTTATAATAAAGTATAATGAAATAAACACGTAATGCATGAATTAAGTTTAATTGAGATACGTGAGATTTATATTTCTGAGGATAAATAAAATAATAATAAATAAAATTAGAGAATATATATAAATTGTATTTACCTATCGCAAGACCGGCATCTTCGGCGAGTTTGATATATCTGTTGAGTCTTCTCAATAGACAATCGCGTCTGGTCTCGTCCGAATCTTCAGGATCGGCACAGACCAAAGCTAAACTGGTGGCCGATATGTTGACGTGCGAGGTCCTTGCCAAAAAACTTGGACTGACGCAGGCACCCAAAATGGCGTAGCTTGGTAATAAAACGTACCACTTTGGATACAAGTGAACACCGACGAAAATTGTTGTTACTAAATGATTAACAATGATGGCCAGATTCGTGCCGATCTTTTGTAGAATAATCGGCGCGAAACAAGCGGTGATAGCCGCGGTCAAATACAACAGAGCCAATAATATTGGACCGAGGTGAGGATTGAATGCTCCGAGACCAGCTTGGAGTGGAAAAATTGGCAAGATGGCGGCTGAACAGGTCGCGTGTCCCAACAACAGGGCTGCGCAATGCCTCAAAATTGTTTTCTTTGCTGGACGTGGTCCGGATGGAGCTGTTCTAACAGCTGCTATCAAACGACGAACCGACGATGCACCTGCCGAAGAATTCATCGAATCTCGTCGTCTCCAAGACAACGCTGCGGATGTCCTCGCCGAGCGACAAGAGATCGGTGAATACGCTGCCATATGCTGTGCGTTGAAAACATCTATTTATTATATTATCCCCTAAATCGCGTTTCTGATTTAAACTTATATCAAAACTTTTACGATTGGTATAAGTTGACTTAATCCTATGCCAATTAAAAATATTTAACATTCCAATAAACGATTCAATAATGTTTCCCTTCACAATTAATTACACTAGTTTACAAAATTTAACTTTTTATCTGTTTACGTGAATTTATGGTTGATAATGTTTTTTTCAAATCTAACCTCAAAAATTTTTCTGCAGCTCGAGTTATTTTGTTTTTGATTTTTATCATTTATACGTATTTATTAATCGATAAAGTGCGTAAAAATTTAAGGATCTCCTTTCAGCATTGCAAATCGCGAAAGTGTTAAGTTAAAATCGTCAAATATGATTAGAGAAATTATTCGATTTGAATTTTTATGATAAATAATATTTAACCGACCTCCAACATGGCGTCGTTGTCCCACAAAGTAGTGGTATGATGATTTCCGCTGCTTCTAGCACGACGATGGGTATGTGCCAATGGTGGTGCTTGAGCGGGTAATCTCATTAATCCTAATCCACTGATTGGAACTGGCCTGTAAACAGGACTTTCGAGTTTCTCCTTCGACAACTCGTGCAAATTCGGCAAAGACCCCATCTTTTTTTTTCTTTAACTTCTTCCCTTCTTCCTACCCTAGCCGCCTTAATACTTTTCCTAAATTAAATGCTTGTTTTTGTTTAAAAAGCTCTTCTCCTTTCTCACGTCGTCATTTTTTCAGTCATCTTCTATCCTATCTCATCCTCGACGACGAGTTACCTTAAACAAAACAGTTAATATTAATATTATCATCACTATCGCGTGAATTTGTTAATAAAATTGAAAAAGCTTCATTATTTGTATTTTTATTTTTATTACATTTTACGTAAAAATAATACAAAGGTGGGTTGAAAAATTTCGACCCTTCGAGTCTAACATAAGAAGAAAAAAAAGTATATATAAAAATTGTTTCTACGTTTTTTAGTTTTTTAAAATAAATGTTTGAAGTTTGTTTTTATTCTCATGTTAGGTTTAAGATTTGTCAACCCAGCTACGTATAGGAATATAATTATCTCCATTAAATAATTACTATTCCACAATCGAAAAATCATCAAAGGATAGAAATTAGAGAAGTGCTACGTTAAATTAAGTCGAACATTGTTTTACATAGAACAAATTCGTTTGTTTCGATTAAAACAAAACAATATTGTCGATAGTTAAGAAAAAATTGTCGCATCATCGATTAGTTAGATTTGTTTTGTTAACAAATGTTTGTCGCAATAACATTTATAAATTGACGTATACCGTTTGCTCTGGTTTCGCTCAAGAAAGAACAAAAAAAGTTACGTCGTCCTTGAATAATGCTGAAATGAAAAAAAGCAAGCAAGCAATCGTGAATGGGACGAAAAACCTTCTTCTGAAATAAATTTCATCATCAAGCGTGTTCGAGAAATATCTTTTTAACGAAATATCGAACGTAAATGCATAATAAGGCATAACGTTTCCAACTTCTGATCTGATTAATACGCATTTCGATAAGTATCTGACAATTTTCTTTTTTTTTTTTCAAACTGTCTCGTACAGAACTGTGGAAAAAAAATCCGACCAGTCAGAGTCAGATATAAGAAGAAAAAAAAAGGAACAAATAAAAACGTTATATTGAAAACAACCAAGACGGCTAATTGCATAAAGGAAAAATATACGCGATCGGAATAATATAAATGAATAAATAAAAAAAACAAATTACGATAAAAATCGATCGATTGATCGATCGTTTCGTCTTTAAAAAAAGAAAAAGAAAAACAAACGAACACCTTGAACAAGAACTTGCGACGAAAGAGCCGTTAATTGTATTAAACGTTATTTACTTATGGCCTTGAAATAACGTTAGGTGTAAATCGATTGGTCGATCGTTATCATAGACGATAGCCTATCGTTGTAACGTAGAGATTCCGATACATGGAAATCGCAAATGAGTAACGTGATCGGTAAGAAACTTGAAAATTCCTCCTCCTCCACCTATCCCCTCGTCCCCCTGCCCCTTCCTCCACCTCCTCCTACATAAAAGGTCGAGCAAAAAGTAACAGATGACTAGCGTAAAACTCGATCGTCTTGCCAATTAGTCAGGATTTACATAATTCCATTATGCGTTCTAATGAAACACGTTTCAAATGAAACTAGATCTAACGCGCGCACACGCACGCCCATTTTGTTTTTTTTTTTTTATTTTTTGTATTCTCTTACGAGATTTTGTTATTGATTTTAAAATAATATCCTCGCAATATATCGCGGTGTCTCCTGTGAACGCTATTATAAGATCTTTGCGTTAAGTTTTTTTTTCTTTTCTTATTTTTTCCTCTCTTTTTCCGTTATATATATATATATATATATTCTTCTTTTATATTTCCGTCTTACGTTAAATAAAAAAAAAAAAACAAAAACAACGCTAACACATTTTGCTTTGAATCGTTATACGCACGTGCGCGTTTATATAAATGAAAAAAAGAAAAAAAAAGAAACGAGATAAGAAGAAGAAGAAGAAGAAAAAATGTAAGAAGGAATAAAAAAAAGAATTATTATCAAAAGAATCGAAGTTAGGTTGTTTTTTAATACCATCGTAAAGAATATTGCAGGACCTTGTGGAAAATAGTCTCTGTGCATAGAGTAGAGCTCGATGACGTCTCGATGACATAAGCGCGATTGGTTGGTGATTGTGCATCGTAAAAAAAAAAAAAAATAATAGAAAAAAAGGCGGTGTGTCTCTCTCTCTCTTCGCCTTACCTTAGCAAAAAAAAAAACAACCGGCTTTTATAATACGAATTTATTATTCGTTTCTTTCCCGTTTTTTCTTTCCTTTTCCCGTTCTTTTTCTTTTTTTTTTCTTTACAGTTATCGCAAATCAACCAAACGGATTCGCATTTAAATTTTGTTCTTTTTTTCTTTATTTTTTCTTTTTTCTTTTTCTTTTCATGATAACTACGTTGCTCCAACACGACGAAAGAGGAAATCTTTTACGCTATTTAAAGATTTTCTCTTTAAGAATTATTCATTATTATTCATTATTATTCATTATTAGTATTATTATTATTATATCATCGAGAATTTTATTTGTTATCTTATATAATAACTAAATAACGTTTTTGTTTTTTTTTTTTTTTAAATATCAGGGGCTAAACCAAAAAATTCGTGAATTTATTATTCCGTCCTTTGATTATAACGCAACAATTTTTTTTTTAGCAATAAATAAAATTACTTTACACACGTAAGCGAGAAATATTAATAATATTAAAAAAATGTACGAACTCTTTTGGTTCACCCTAATAAGTTTCCAAATAATTGCCGAGAAGAAATAATTGACATTCGTAATGAGGATAATCAATGAAGTTGGTCGTTTGAAGGGGGAGTAGTGGGCGGGCCGAAGAGGGGTTGGGTTGGTAAGAGTGAGTGAGTTTTCCGTGATCAATATAACCATTAATAATATGCAATGAGATTCGTAAAGCCGGAACGTGAACTGTGTGTACAAGGATCTATTAATATATGGGCACGCGTTTGTTGTGTTAGTCTATTGGTAAGGCACGCTTTATCGGCAATTAATTGCGGTAATAGAGCGAATAATTCGAAACAAAGAATAATTAATTCATGGACGATTGAAAGAGGGTTAGGGGCGGGGAGGGGACGGGGGCGACGGTAGGAGAGATAGAAAAGGTCGGGGGGTGGGATGCAAATGGAAAAATAGCATCCCTCCCAAACACAAAGGAAAGGAAATCGGATAAATGAAAAATTTGAATAAATTACAACAATAGAAAACAATGTGAAATAATTGTTTAACAATGATTGCATAAGTATATCGCATTATTTGTTCATTTATATGTATCTTTTCTGTTAATGATATAACGTGTCAGTTAAACGAAATATAATTAAACGAAATACGACGAAATATATCATTCGTTTCGATTCATTTGATTTTGTGTATCATAATTTACGAATATATAATAAATATTAATAAATAATAAAATACTAAAAAGAAAATATATTATAATATATAATTTTTATTATTATATAATAATATAATATAATATTAATATAAATTATTATAATAATTTAAAAATAATAAATATTCTATTTATTTTTTTTTAATCATAGCTCTCGAATTCACAAGTTATGCCCTTTTTCTTATTTTTTTTTTTTGAGGGGGTAGTTTGGGGAAGGATTTTATATAAGATTAGGTTTTCCTCTAAAAGTTCGAATAGATTGATATTTTTCTTTTTTTGTTTTAATGCGAATTACGATTTTTCCCCAGAATCAATTTAAATATTTGTCTTACGAGTTAATTACTCGGAAAAGTTTCTTTTTAATCGATTTAAGGGGAGAAGAGGGAGAGAAGAAATCCTATTTACGTTAAAAAATATCACCGCGACCTTTCGAACTTTTCCGGGAAAAAAATATAACAACCCTCGAATACTTTCTATCCCGGTTTTTCTTCCGGCTTAGGTTGTTTTTTTTTCAAATTTTATTTTATTACTTCGAGCCGATCGTTTACGTTTGTTCCCCGTGCAATGCCTGATATTTTACAACAACTCCCTTCCCTCCTCGATTCCTCCCCCCTATTCATTTTCATTCAAATTATTTGAATATTCTTCGAATTATAATTGTACGAATATTTTTTTTTTTTCTTATTTTTTCCTTTTCCTGAGAGTTGATTAATTATAGTCGCACTTTCGAAAAAAATATAAAAGAAAAATGGGAGAAAATAGAATAGAAAAAAAAAAGAAAAGAAAAGAAAAATCTAAAACAAAGGGAAACTGTTGCTGCGCACACGTGCTGCTGCGTTATTCGACGTCGTAAGGGAAACACACGCATTCAAAGGAGGGAAAAAATGGTGTAGGCGTTATAATGCTTGAAGGTAAACTAGTAACGTATTGAAAAACGATATTTCTACCCTCTCGCCCAGCTCTCACGGCACTTACACGATTCGTTATTTAATACGAATAAATTGTAAACTCTCCCGTGTATAATAATAAAAATGGAACGGAATAGGATACCAAATTTTCAACCTTTTTCAATCTTTCAATCAAGTTATTACGAGCTCTAATTTGAGTTCTGGTATTTTTTCTTTTTTAAGATAACGCAAGGAAAATTTATTAATTATTCATTTTAATTTAAATTTGATAAATCGTTTGTGGTTTCTTTCTTTTTTTGTTTTTTTTTTTTTTCTTTTTGTATCATAATTAAAGATAAGACAAGACCGATAAATTCGTACGGATTTCCTAATTAAATAATTGAAAAAAGAAAAAGAAACCGCGTGTATTTATTGCGACCAATCTGTTATATATTTATGAAAGGAATTCTAATTTTATTTTAATAAATGCGCAAACAATTAAAATTCTTACTGTTCGCGTACATTTATGATGTTGATTAAATATTAAAATTAGTTATTTTAAATCCTTCGACTTAGGGATGATGAATTAATTCTTGTTTTGGTAGTTCGAAGACAACGCAAGGATATTTTATTAATTAATTCGATTGAAATCTCATGATTTTCATTTGATTTTGTTTTCTTTTGTAATTAAAGATAAGAACGACCAATAAATTCGTGCGGATTTTTTCGAATAAATTAACGATAAAAATTGCGTGTATTTATTGATCAATATTTTACGTGTTTATCTCGTTAATAAAATAAACATTTGAGGCTTTTGGTAAATTAGTTTATCATTCGAAGGTTTTAAAAGAAAATATTACACACAACAACAAAAAAAAAGAAAAAAGAAAATTCAATCGAAGAGACGGAGAGATAATAAAAAAAAGAACTTACATTTATTCGTGATGATTGAGATGACAGGTTCTCGAAAAAAAAAAACATTGACGAAGAGCATCATCGAAACGATCCTCTTCCAATTCCAATCGATCACCATCATGATTAATTTCCCATAACGCACAAGAACAATTTTTTAACCGAACAGTTTCACATTATTTCTCTTCCTTCTTTTTTTTTTTTTTTTTTTATAATACGCACATTTAGGACGAAACTAAGAAATAAGAAGAAAAAAAAAACAACAATTATGCGTTCGTAATATTTTCTATTAAGATCCACTAAACGTCACATAACATTTTCCACTGGGTTTGCTTTTTGTTCTGTTTTTTCTTCTATCAACGAAACTAAAAAATGCTTTTTTTTTGTTAGTTCAACGTTTAAAACAAATGTTTCTCGTAATTCATCAAAGATGAAGAATCATTATTCCTTGTATTTCTTTATGACAATCAACACTTCACGATAAACGAACAACGACAAATTTCTTTTGATTAACGCAGAACAAATTTTGACACATGAGAATTCAAACGCACGTAAGAAACACGACAAGTGGTGCAGCAGCACGCGTGCATTATTAGATTTATGCTTTCACACAGGATAGACGCACACACGTACACGTACACGTACCATATGTATTTAGATACGTAAATACGTATTTGAAAGTAATCCTTCTTTCCCCCTGGTAACAAACGTAAAAAATGTTTGGAAAAATGTTAATATGGTGAAAAAAATTCGAACGTTTCGTTAATAATTCGTTGCGATGTAAACACCAAACTAATTAACAAACAAAAAATTACGTGAAAAATTATTCTCGAGAAAAAATAATAACGAACCGATTTATTACAATGGTATCGAGGAAAATCGTATTTCCCTTTTTTAACAATGTTTGTTTTCACTGTACCGATTTTAGAAATGATTCCAACGAAATTTGAATTAGAATTGAATAAATGTTTAGAAACGATTGTAGGAAGGGTAAAAAACAAGGGGGAGGAAAGAAGACGACAATTTGGGGGGTTTTGCAAGTTGGTTCAATCGTTGGTTGTGTTGTGTTGTTTTCGTTTTCTAAGGACTCTCGAGGAATCGGGATCGGGATCGGGTCTCTCTTCTATCCTCTTGGACTTTTTATACATACATATACACACCACCTCCTGACTTCGGCATTGGTTAACAGTTCGGTTATATTCGTGTCAACTCGGTTAAACTCGTTTTGATGGTCGATAACGGCGAGAGTGCGTACTGAAACCCAAGTTTCTTTCTTTTTAATACATACATACATACACACACACACACACACACACACACATACATACATATATACATACGTACACTTTTACTCCCAAATTTTCTCTCTCTCTCTCTCTCTTATTTTCTTATTTTCTTCGTTTCTTTTTACCTTTTCCTCGAAAAAGGGAAAACCTTTTTTTATCCTCCCGCGTTGGTCGTGTTTTCGCATCTGTTGCGTCGTCGCGTCCGACCTTTTTGTTATTTTTTCTTCTTCTCCACCTCCTCCTCCTCCTTCTTCTTATTATATTTTTTTTTCTTTTAATCCAAGGGCTCAAACAGAGAAGAAGAAGGTCAAATTCGACGAGGAGGAAGAAGAAGAAGAAGTGAAAGAAATGTTGAAAGATATGAGGAATCGACTAAACGTCCTCCAAATATTCTCTTTCGAAGGTTACCACCTTTTTTTTCATATTTTACGAAGATATTTTACGAAGGATTCTATATATATTATATATATATATATATATATATAAAGAAAATTATATACATAAAATAATATATATATGTATATATTTTGATTTAGGAAATTATGTTATTAGAAAATTATATAATATATATAATAAAATATATAAAAGTAAAACAAAAAAACACACACCTATGAGTTCGTGCGAGAGAACAATGAGAAAAGAAGAAATTTATTTTTTGTTGTTGTTTTTTTTGTCAATAAAACGCACGAAATTATTTGCGATTATTTTAACACCAATGATCTTTAGGGGGAAACAGAAAAATGTTATTAATTGGACGTTTGATGTTTTTTCTTTTTATATTTTTTTTTTTTCTAATCCGACGCCAAGCACGACCTTTATAAATAATGTCTTTCCTGTTTGATTTTATATTTTTTTTTTTTTTAATTACGGTCAGAGGATACCTTAAAAACCTTCGCAGCCGATTGAATGAACATAAGGTCTCAGAGTTACGTGAATGGATGGGTTTTGTTAAGGTTTTACGGTTTAATGAACTTGCCAACGTTATTTTTTGTTTTCTTTTCTTTTTTGTTTATTCCTAAGCTATAGGAACTTCATAATGAAAAATTCATTCAACGAATAGTTTCTTTCTAAAGAAGAAACAATTTTTTGTGTTACTTATCGTAAATATATTTTTTATCCCATTGATATTGAATCTCGATTACTATCGAATTTGATAATATTATTTTTGCTTACAATTTTTTAATTCAACGTTATAAATTTGAACCTTTTTCTTTTCTTTTTTTTTTATAAATAACTAACAATATATATAAAAACATAGCGATCATTTTCCTCTTATTATCTGTCAATTAAATGAATTTTATCTATAACGAAACAATTAAAAAAACGTTCCAATACGTGGATTGATTTTTTCAATGCCGATACACTATAATCTTTGATATTCGAATGAATTTTTTTTTTCATACAAAAGAAACCGGATCCGGATATGTGGAGGCTGTCATTGACCTTCGATTATCGTTCTAAGTAAACACGTTTTCAAGTATGAAAATAAACCAACAAGCGTATGATTTATGCAGTCATAGATTGACTTCACTTTTTTAATACTTTTTTTTTTCTTTCCCTTAATCGAAAGTTTAAGTATTCGTGTTACAAATTATTCGAAAATATATACACCTAATTCTGTTTTTTTTTTTTTTTAATCGACGAAAAACTTTTTGTTTAACTTCCGATTGAAGTTGCCTGGTGAAGTAAAATTTTCTTCTTATGTTAGAAAAAATAAAAAAAAACCCATGAAACAATTTCAACAAAAATTTGTTCAAACCATAAACCTACCATCGCATTCTGTAAATAAATAAATTCTAAAAAAATGTAAATTATATTATATATTCTTTTAAAAATATAAAAACTATACGAGCCGTTTATTTCGATAATAACCTAAATCCATATTATTTAATTTTATTTATAACAATTAATTTCCAATTGTATAAATGTTATTACGATCAACACCACCAACACCAACAATAATAACAACAACAAAAATAATTTTAAAAATAAATTTACGATATCGTTCGTTAATCCAATGTGCATAAAAATCTCATTCTATATTAAAATATACGTATTATTTTTTTATTTGTTTTTCGACCTCTCTCACTATAAGAAATTTTGATACTTTTTCCCCATGAAGATGAATATATTTCGACATAATATATTTATTATAATAATCATCATCGTACGTTAATTTTCTAATAAGAAAAAATCTTACGAGTAGAATTGATTAGTTAAAAAAAAGAATGGTGATTTATCAGGAAGAAAAATGAATGATCGTTATTTGTATGAAAAGTATGTCAATGTTACGACGTTCGTCGCATGACAGGTAGATTGTTTGTCGCGTCTTTCTATCTATCGACAAGACAGGAGGGTTAATCACCTCTCTCGGATATATCTCGTTCGCGTTGGGTGTCACTCGTATTAACTTCCTTTACATTTACCTTCTAACAATCAACAACTACCCAAGGTTCACACACATATATTGAAAGAAAAAGAGAGAAAGAGAGAGTGAGCTCGTCCTTCAAGGACTTTTTACTCGGAACAATAAGCAAGTATTGTGTAGTATATCGCGAGAAGTTGCACGATATCATACTAACTTACAATATCCATTCGTCAAAGAATTATTATCCAATATAATGTTTCATATAATAATATTTCGCGCGTCAAAGTTCTTTTTTTATTATCAACGATTCAATTAATTAACGAAAATAAATCACAAGATGTGTGTAGAAATAAAAAGAAAAATAGAAAAGTAAAAAAAAAAGAGAAAGAAACGTAATACGATTAGGAAAGGAAGGTGGGGGTAGGTTTCTTTTTTCTATTTTTTAGTTAAATATAATTTTATCGCATGACAATAATCTCGATTATAGTTATTCTATAAGGATAAAATATATAACGTATATTCGCGATAAATAAACGCGAATGTTTAATTCGATGATGTACATTGTGGTGATGGTGGTGGTGGTGATGGTGGCTCATCGTGAACGAGATGTACAACATTTTTGTCACACCGACGTAAGGAACGGTGTTGCGATTGGTCGATACAAAGGTACGACCTTGAAAATCAAAGATCGAGAGTGTATTTTACTCCCACCGTGGGTGATCGAGAGAAATACATGCGTGTATTGTAACGACATATCATCGTACTGTACCTTACTTACACTTCGTAAATGTATCCCATGTGTATATGGGATTTAATGTGTGTGTGTGTGTGTAATTGTGTCTCTAGTACGGGGAACTTGTAAACGATACATCGAAAGTAGTTTTAGTTGTGTTGATGCACGGGGAGTTCTACGACGACGACAACGAAGAAACGAACGAACGGGTCCCCTTCCTTTTCGATGAAAATCATTGGAGGACCGTGATAGATACTTGCTTACTTTCTTATAAATGAAGGTTCCCCATTCGTTCGGTCCTCATTTAAACTCACCATCCTCCGTGAACCCCTTGGCAATAATTTCATACTTTTTTTCTTTTTTTCTTTCTTTCTTTCCAATTATCTTTTAATCCCCCACCCCCACACCGCTCCCCGTTTCTTTCTTTCATTTTGTTTGTTTTTCCCTCCCAACCACATTTATATTGTGATCATCGAAGTATTATTATTCTTATTATTATGATTATTTTGTCGAAGATCAGGGTGTGTGATTTTTATTAGTGCGACATTAAAGTGTTAACGTTCTCGTCGTTGAATTTTTATTTTTGTTATTATACTCGTATGTTTATATACCTTAATCGTAAATTACGCGAGAGGATAAGAAAATTGATAACTCGATATTAATTTTCATTCTTATTCATCTTCCCCTTTTTTGTATTCTACCACTCTCGTCTCTATACGGATAAAAACGTGAGTCTTTTTATCGATATCATATATTTTATTTTTCATTTAATTTTATTTTTTTAACGAAATAATATATATATATATTATATTTTTTCGCAGTAATTCTCAATAACGTTTTAACGAAGTGTTTTTAATTTTCGCGATCGAGTGTATGGTATTATTGATTAAATTAATATTATCAATAACAAAAGATGAGATTCATTAAGTTTACCTGTATTTGATTTTCTATATGGGATTGTTCAATTAATTTAGATTATATATTATGATCTATTTAAAATATATGATCGATTTAATTTAATATTAATATTAATGTGATTAAATTTAATATGAAGATCGATTGTTTCGTATTTCTATATGAAATGTTCTTTTTTTCTTTTTCATTAAAAATATTGCCGATAAATATTAATCAACACGATAGAATTTTTAATTGAATGTTATTTATTGTTACGGATTCCTACATACATGAAACGAAAGGTGTTAAATTCCAAAAGTGTTTTTTTTTTTTAACGATCTCACAAATGTGAGATCATTAATGAAGGTGGTATAAATGTATAAATTGCATTAGTATTGTAGAATTTTTTTTATCAACGTAACACCATACGATGGCATACCTTTGCTTTAGATTTAAACCATATTAGAGAGTTAAACCGCAAACCGATCTTTCTACATGCTTTGTATCGTATAACGGATTTATAAATGTGAGCTTTAAAGATTATACGCGAAAGGATCCAATTAAACAATTTGAATAATCAAATGTTGAATTTGATTATATATATTCTCTGTTTCTACTTCTTTTTTTAATTGTGTTTTTTTTTAAATTTTTTTCAATTGATCGTATCGAAAGAAACGAGATAATTAGTGACAGAACGTTTTGTATTTTTTTTTAAAGACAATCTGATTATCTACTGACTGAAATCCGAGTTTAATTGCACTAACATTCCACGTTAGGTAAAATACGTCATATGAAATTGCAGTTGTTGTAACATATATGCACATTAGTCATCCTTTATAGGCATATCGATTCCTTACCGAGTTTTCTCGAGAATTACGAATAAACTTCTTTACCGGTTTGCTTTTTGTTCAACGGAAACTACTACGGATTCAAACGTTGCAATTGTTATTCCAGTTGAGAAGTAAAAAAAAAAAAAAAAAAACTATGGAAGCTCGAAGTTTTTCTTATTAAATTTTCTTGTTGAAAATATTCTTCGACGTAATTATTATTATTATTATTATTATTATCGGGTGGATCTATATATATATATAAGTTTGTACAATTTTGGCGGTATTATTTAATTAGAAGAAAAAAGAAAAAATACAAGTATTGCAATGTTTGTCAGCCTAATTATTTGAAAGGATATACAAATTTATGATTTATATAAAATATAGTCGGTAAATTTATATTTGTTTTATTTTCTATTTGATATTAATTAATATCAGAGTTAACGTTTGATTTATTATATTTAATATATTATTAATATCGGGTGGATCTATATATATATATAAGTTTGT